GGAACAGTTTGCAGTTGATTCGCCATTGTGCACTGTATTTGCTATGACCGGCGTTTTTTTCGTTTGTTTACGCTCGTTCAGGAAATTTCGTTCGGGAACCTTTTCCAATGGGAAGATAAATGGACAAGCGAGTGGGACAAATCAGGAAAAAGACTCAAACAAGCGAGGAGATAATAATAATGTTCCGAAACCACCAAAGACACTGTTCAACAAGGCAGGAGGTACGGTCCGGAATGGTTTCGAAAACGTGAAAGGTACGAACCAAGCCGGCTCCAGGAAAGATAGGGATCAAACTGCTTCCTGGCAAACGAAAGGTAAAGGTCAAGCTACCTTTGAGAGTGCGAGAAATAGGATCCAAAATACCGCCGAGAAACCGATGCATAATACAATGAGAAATGGTAAAAACGAAAAAATGCTTCCATGGGAAAGGTACGTTCAAGTTCAATTTGGAAGCGCAGTTCAACAAGCAGCAAAATTTTCCAACGATCTATCTAAACCTAGCAATGGACACTGGGAAAGGCCAAAAGTCCAATCTAGAGGCACAGTTCAGGAACCAGCCAAACCACCGAAGAATCTATTTGAATCTAATAATGGCCACCGGGAAAAGTCAAAAGTGCAACATAGAGGCGTAGTTGAAGAATCAGCCGAAAACGACATGGATGATGAGGAAGGACCCGGTCTCATGACGGGTCTGTTTGATTAATGTTACCAATGGATCCATTGGATGGACATTAGGAATGGTTAAAAGAGATTAATGAATCATGAAAACGGCCACCTCATCAAGACCTAGAATGGAAACTGATCTAAAGATTCGTCGTTATTTCGGCATGACTGATGACCTAATGATTTACATAGACAAAAATTGTAAAATGTTATTTATCAGCTGCTTCAACAATACGACGCTTTGTTCCGGTGTATTTTTGCTTAATGATTGTGATTTGTTTCGAAACAATTTTCTTGTTCATTCGCCACATCAATTTTCATCGGTTGTTTTGTTGAATTGAAATGTTTGACGACATTTCGGTTTACGTAATGAGACACGTTATTGTTAAGAATCCTGAGAGCTTAAAATACGGGCAGTAAACTGCTTTTGTGGCTGATTCATGGTAATTATTTGTAGACTGACGGTACAACGTAAGTTAACCAAATTATTGTGTTTCGTGCTGGCTTATTAGTAATTCTTACTTAGTTGGCCCAGTGTTATAGAGGTGAGTGCTTCGTTAAGTACTGAAATAACTTCATGAGGACAAAACAGATAGAATTAGTTTGTGTTTTTCATGAGTGTGCTAAATATTCAGTCATAATTGTCCCAAACATTGCGATGCTTCATTTTATATTTACGATATATTTTAGCATTACCATATTTATTCATTTATTTATGTTTTTTTTTTGTTGATATTCACCTGTTGATAGTTTAGCCGTCAGTTTGAATGAACGTAAATTGCCGTCAGGTAGAATCATTTGCGTTTTTTGATTCTATGGGCAAAATTTCATGATCATTGCATCGTGATGTGTATGAAACTGGAGTGTGAAATCTTTAGGTAAACTGATATCAGAAGTATTAATGCAGAATCGAATGTTTGCATTAGAAGACGAGACATGTTAACAATGTAAAAGATAAGCAACAATAAACATCTGGAGGGTTGGTTGATTTGATAGGACGAAGACGGCTGGCAGTCTTTTAATCCTCCGAAAAGAAGCACAAAGATTGAGTGAGGTAAGCGGACGTGAGTAGAAGACTTATATTGTCGTTTAAGTGATGAAATATATAATAATAATGAATGAATGAGGTCAAATGAAACTGTTTTTTAATCATCACTGGTGCTTATATTCTCACAATCGATTGTTAAATGTTTACTGTCTTATCAAAATTTTATCATTAAAATCGGGACTTTTGTGTTAAAGCGTCTTTACGGAGGATGAAGTAACGCTGTCGGTCCATTGTTATTATCGCATTGTTATGGAATATAATATAGCTGATCTATTGCCATCATTGCCTATCGCATTATTGTTTTGAACAGTTTGAGTTTTGATCATTGTGCGATCACTGAACGAAAAATTCATATTAATTGATGTCTTGATTGCTTCTCAACGTATCCTTTAATCGCATACATTTGGGAATAATCAATCGAACGCGATAAGCAAATTGGTTACACTCTGCTTTAGAAAACATGGTTTGTTAGTTGTTAATGCAAATATATTTGATATTTTGTTTTGTTTGCACATTTGCTGCAAATGTCGTGTGAAGAAATGAAACGTAAACACATCAAATAAATATTGACATGGTTCTGTAAAATCATAAAAAGACAAGAATTGCGATCGGAGACGAGAACGTTTTAGATTTTTTGCTGAACTACACGAAACATTTGTGATATGATGGGTTGAGCGGTATGATTTGTTGCAATCTTGCAATCTCTCAGACATAATTTAGTGGAGAAATTGGCAACTGGGAATGAAACAAGAGAATAATCTTATTGAGGTGACTGAATGGACTCACGTGGATTTAGTCCAAGGCATGAGTCGTTCATTGATTGTGAATCGCATCTGTATAGAGCCAAGATTCGAAATGTTCTGCACCAATCGCAGGCTGCGTCCTGCCGGGTCGTTCATCGAAGGGCATCCCTCCCGAACCACCTCGGCTCGAGCCTTACCTCCGGGNACTGAATACTTCATTGAAACCATTTTGCAACGAGAATAACATGGAAACTTTATAATTTTAACTTAATTTGGTGGAGGTCTATTTCGAGATGTGGAGAGTTTCTCAGTAAGACATCGATAATTTCGAGATTGAAATGAAATTTAGTCGCTTCAAGATTTCACAGAACATTTTCCTGCTGGAAAGCACTTCATTGTCGCATACCTTATGCAATATGGAGATTCAATCAGAATCACATTGCCTCTTACACGTGCGTAGTTCACGGCGTTTGATCAGCTTCATTAGTAGGCAAGCGGAGGAGTGGGAAGCTGGAGCGAATCTCCGAAAAAAAACTCAAAAAAATCACCAGGATATGAAAAATGCGCATTCGCTTCCAGCCGGGCGTTCAATTGATCACCGATCCTAAGTGTTGCCTGCTGTACATTCTGGATTTGTTTGTTCCCATTCCATAAAGACATCCGGAACGGTATAGATGCCTTCAATCAAGCTTACCTGTTGATGTTGTGGAGTTATTCTCATGCTATTGAGAGAAAAGCTGAACGGACATTGAAAAGTTGATACGAGATCATTCTCGGACGTAAAGGTTTTCAATGTGGTGATTGTATTCGAAAATTGGAGGATCAAGCATTCAACAGTTTGTTTCCAAATCTCTTCTATAGTTGTCCGTTCGCAAGGTTTGTTTGACAGGAAAAATTCATCAGTCCTTTTATTTTTTTGTTTGCAGTAAATTTGTTGATCAAGAGATCAGTTTTAGAATTTGCGGTTAGTTATGCAGCCGAAGGATGGAACGAGCGCAACGGATTATGAAAAGCTCCGGTATCCTGCAAATCTTACCAAGTCGAGTTCCTTATTAGGCACGAAACACGTGATTGTAAAAGAGCGATTCACATGATTTGCTGATGTATAGTAGTCGATCTGAAATGATCACATTCAGTGATTAGTAACTGATGATTTTTCGGCATAACAGTCTTTTAGCAACAAGAATTTCTTTTTCAGAATGTTCACATGTTTCAATGATTGATACTCTGAACAACAGAAAACGATACGGAAACCAGGTGATGCGTGCAAATAATATGATACTGCAAATAATTATCTGTTTGAATAAAATGTCAGGCGCGGATAAGGATTCAGACAAAATCAGTGACAAGATTGAGCAGAAACGATTATTTGTTGATCTAATCGATAGATCAAGTAATCATTTATTATTTATCACAGTATCAATATTCTAAAATTTAAATTTATGCAAGACTTTTTGAACCGATCATGTCTTCGGTTGAAAACATCCATTAAACTCACAATAAGTTATCGAAATATCCAGTAACGACAAACCGTAATGGTATGTAGCGTTCCATCCTCTAAATCCAATGAGACAATTCCACTACATCGCTGATAGTTGGCTTTAAGTACCAACTGTGTCATTGACTGTCGTCGGAATTCACTTCGGCATATTTGCCGATTATTGTTTTGATTTGTGTTTCTATTGTCATTGTTACCATTATTACTGTCACCATTACCGTTGTTGTTATAATTACTATGATCAGTTGGTAGTGATCGCGATGAATGATGTGAGGACTGAAGGTAGGCACGAGAGATGCGTACAAAATCTAAGCCTATCGTTTGATACGGCTCATACAGTAGCTCGAAATGCTTTCGCTGACAGCTCAACTGCACTGTTCCATCTGAAAGTGAATTTGAATGATATTTAATTAAGAATTAGATTGGGTATTATATGGATTTCAGGGATCACTATCAACAGTTTGCCACTATCAACTGAATTACCAACATCACTGTTGAAATGTATCGCGATTGATTTTATCAACAACATTATAATGTGCTGCAAGGATACGTCAAATTCAGTTTTCACTTCTGATAGAATTGCCCGTTTAGAGGACAGCCGGCTTCAGAAAGCCATCCATTGATGACAGATATAGGTCCGACAGTGAAAAATGTCTTTGCCTCACTTTATTAACTCTGAAGAATCACTTAAATCCCATATCGCTTATGTACATGTGATCTATACTTCCATGAAAGTTGTTGGTATGAAAAACATGTTCAATATCAAAAGCTATGTTGACGCTGAGTATCGAGGAGAAATTGAAACGCAATCAAAGTCAAACGCGCACATAAATTCCAACCGTATGACTAAAACGAACCCAACCTCAAATGCAATCTTATGAATGTAAAACCACAAAGCCTGATTAGCATAGTTCCTTCCGTTCATTGTGCATTCATTAAAACACATTAAAACGTATGTTACAAAACGCATTAATATTCGCATCATCCATTCATAAACCTACGTTGTTCGCTCAAATGCTACTAGCGATGTGCTGCTGCTTTTGTCTAGTAAAGAAGAAAAAGATACTTCCATTCAATCGAGTTCTTGCAAATATATCATCTATTCATTGCCTTAAAGAATGCAGTACACCAGATGCACTTTCATCACAGAGCACAAAAAAAAAACATTTTATTTGTCTGATATAGTTAGTTGCTTAAGTGTCCGTCTGTCTGTATTTGGTAAGATTTTAATACGCTGAGAAAATATTGAGCAGCCAAGTGTTCATATTTGAGTAACTGAATGTGATAGTTTCCTTCGCATTAATTCATTATGTGAATTCATATTCTAGCGTTGGTGGATGACTGACTAATGAGGTATTCAAATAACGCTTGCTGTTTGGCTAGGGAAATGAGATTTGAGTCTCATGCATGGATCATTACTGCAGAATCAATGGAACACTGAAATTGTGATGAGTCCTGGTGATAATACGATGAAAACATCGCTCTACTGAGGTGCTGTCTAATATCAAGCATGATATTTTCTTATCCAGTTGGTTTTTTACCTATGGTAATGACCTGTTTGTCCGAATTTGTGGGTTTCGTCGAATAATGACCTCAGTGATCCATACTTCATTCAACAATAACCAAATGAGTGAGTAAATTTCATCAAATTGGAGAATTCCATTAAAATGTGTAAATCAGTTCAGACAAAATGTTCATTTGAATGGTTCGTTCCTCACAAACCCCTATAAACAACTAGTCGAGTTCAAAAAACTATTCGTCTTAGCATGTTCGGTAAGTATGGTGTTTTGTGCGCGATATCGATAGCACTAAAGTTGCTGTATACAGCCAAGTTTGAGAGCATTAAATCTTGACAATGATACTTCCACTTTAAGCAATTAGCCAGTTTTGATCCGGAAGGTTTCTCCCACATAACAATAGAATTCTTTCACTGACCTTCCCTGGACTACAAATTCTTTGTTTTTCCGATACATACTTTGTTAGAAGCAGACATAAACTTGTCTCATCTGATACGTAGAGTTAGCAAATAACTGATTGAGCTTAACACAATTTCAATGATTTTATCACCCTATCAAAGATTACAATTCCTGTTTTGCAATCCACTGATCAGTGAACAAATAATGGAAAGCACTTAACCTATGCTCAAAATTTACGTTATGGAATGCTTAACATTGAAAGTATTATCAATTGCAGTCTGGCTAGCGTCTCAGCTGAACGATGATTAACGATGAATATTGCACCTTCATCTGACTAGATCAATCGTTCGATATCATGCTGGAATAAAATCTGAATATCAACTCACCAATAATAGCGCTCCATGCCTCGGCAAAGATTGTGAAGACCAATAATGAGAGAACATCACTTAACATGAGAGCCAATTTACAAACCCGTTTTAGTATGAAACTGAAAATTCATTAAAATACTCGTCGAAAATTTCATAACTTCTGCAAATACTCGCAAGCTCTCGTAAATCATCAAGTTCTAATGGAAGAGTTGCTAGCGTTGACGAATTCTTCACGAGTTCTCTGCACAAGTTATCAATTCCATCGATTAAACTCAACAAAAAAAAAACACTGAAACGTTCAGAGAAAACAGATAAGTTCTAGTATCTTTCCGATGATCAAAAGTTAAGAATCACAAAATATTTAGCACTTGATTAAGAAAAATAATTCGTAGACAAGTAACAATAAGCCTAAGCCTTCTGACTTGTAATCGTATAAGAATGCGAATCAAAATCTGGAATCAGGAACTCAGCAAACTCCAAGGCGTTTGAATAAAAATCAGGGCGCTGCTACATCAGATTTGACTTACTTGTTCAGCCCATAGGATATGTAACGGTAAGCTTGAAGGTGAATAAATTTCAGACTGAGGTGTTATGGTGAGGTTTTTTTTAATGCCCGAATACGCTCTATAAATACTCTTACATCGTACATCTACAATCAGCTCTAAACCAGCGAGCTCCGCCCTTAAGAATATGGTAACTGTAAATCTACGGGTCTATAATTTATGGCACAAAAAAAGGAATGAGTTAAAAAACGGCAAACGATTGAATCGAAACGTTTCATAGAATGCATCCGAAACTAATGTGAAGCAGACGCATGGAACTCTAATAAATTTCACTGCAGAAAGCAAAAGTCAAAAACTGTATGAGGTGAATGTTCGTATAATCCGGAATCATTACCGTGTTAATACTTGATTAACTTAGTATTTTTAAGATGCTAATTGAAATGCAAAGATAATTTTGTGCTGAATTCAGTTGATTTAATGAAGTCTATTGATCATTACTGTATTACGCCACCAGTCTATCGTATCATTGCGACAGGTGGAAGGAAAGTCAAGAAATCGTTCCAAAAAATGAAGTTTCCTGTTAGTAATTTGTCGATTGTATGAAAGAAATCACTTCCTCATGATCCAGCGAGTATTCTGAATTTATCACTGATCCTGAGCATTTTTGGAAAGAATGAGAAGGAAGATAAGTCTATCAACAATGATTTGCTGACCTCTTCGGTCCTCTTCCATCACTCATAAATCCCCCATCCCCTACCGTCCTCTAGTAACTGTTGGTCTAAACCCTGATCCATAACGAACAACCTATCATTTATAGCCTGAATATCTTCTAAGAAAGTGTTCGACGCAATGTACCCATTCCCGATTGATCGCACAAATCTAATCAGTGATCTACAGGTCAACTATGAACTACGATTTTGATGATATAATAGTA